GCTGAGACCTGAAGAGCTGCCCAGGCTAAATCACCAGCCTGTAGATTTGTTAGCGGAAAGGAGAAATGATAAAGAAAGTGTTCTTGGAATTCATTTCTGGCAGAGTCTTGTGAGCTTTGCTTTCATTTGTTAGTGAAATGCTTGACATTTTTCCTTCACATTATAAACATTACATGCAAATTACTCAGAATCCTAATTGAAAGTAATTTCCCATTAATGCAGGCTATAAAATACCATTTTATTTGAAACTATGCCTCAGAAATAGATAGTATAGGATGCCCCTTTACACTCACAAATTATACCCACAAATCCAGGAAGCACAATGTTGGGTGTGTGAGTCAGGGACTTAAAGCTACTACCGATGAAAATGTAAAAGAGGCACCTTTGGACGCATAGGCAAATGGCAGAGAGTGGCATGCAGTAGTGTTTGCAGCAGTGAAAAATCCAATTATGGGACACTAAACTTTAAAAGCCAACTTTTGCATAACTGCAATCTCTGGGTGACCAGCACCCTTCTAAGAATTTAATCTGCCTAGAGACCAAGCAATGGCCAAGAAGGAGGAAACAGAAGCACTGGCATGCATGGTCTGAATGAGGAAGCCAAAGAACTCACTGTCCTATCAGAGTTTTTTCCTTCCAAGTCAGATACATACAGCGAACCTCCTTTGTGACCACTTGCTGTCCACACATTATCTGCAATCATGAATCTTGGAAATAAATCATTCCCAATGCTCTTAAAAAATAAAAGTAAATAGGCCGGGTGCAGTAGCTCAAGCCTGTCATCTCAGCACTTTGGGAGGTCGAGGCAGGGGGATCACGAGGTCAGGAGATCGAGACCATCCCGGCTAACACGGTGAAACCCCATCTCTACTAAAAATACAAAATATTAGCCAGGCATGGTGGTGGGTGCCTGTAGTCCCAGCTACTCAGTAGGCTGAGGCAGGAGAATGGCGTGAACCTGGGAGGTAGAGCTTGCAGTGAGCCGAGATTGCGCCACTGCACCCCATCCTGGGTGACAGAGTGAGACTCCATCTCAAAAAAATTAATTAATTAATTAATTAAATAAAAATAAATAAATAGCTTGTTTATTTAGTTATACCAGGTTATACCTAGGCATTTCACTAAATTTCCACCTTTAATGAATACCTAGCTCCACTTTATTCTGACAATCATGGTAGGCAGCAATCATTATGTTTTGAGGTAATTCAACATCCTTACCCCATCTGCATCTTTAAAAGCACCAGCCAATAGAAAATTAGTTGGCCATGGTGGTGCATGCCTGTAATCCCAGCTACTTAGGAGGCTGAGGCAAAATAATCACTAGAACCCAGAAGGTGGAGGTTGTGGTGAGCCGAGATCGTGCCATTGCACTTCACCCTGGGCAACAAGAGTGAAACTCCATCTCTAGAGGAAAACAAAACAAAACAAAAAAAACTCCAGCCATAAGCCCTGGGCTCTGAGAGCAGATAGCACCATCAGCAAGAACTTTGGACTAACATGAGCAAGAGCTCTCTGCCTGGTCAAGCACACAAACTAGGCACTCTGAAAAAAAAAAAAACAAAGAATTGCTTTCCCTTAAGAATTACCATGGGATAGGGACCCTGACATAACTTGAAGAACATAAGGGCAGAGAGGTAATAAGGCAAAGATTTCACCGCTCCAGAGGGTCTCCTTAAAGGCACTAGACAAAAGAACCAATGAATGGAAATTCTAACCTTATGGATGCTTCTAGGTTAAAAATCACAACGGAAGATCTCAACCTATTGAGTTAAATGATCCAGTGCATAATCAATCTAGTGAATGTCTATGGCATTTTCTATATTTAACATTTAGGAGAAAGGGAACAGCAAAGAGCTATTATCTCAGTATTTCAGTCTCCTAACAAATAAACCAGGAGTTGCAAGCTCAACTGCCTACAGGAACAGACAAATGAAATAAATAAGTGAAGAGCATCAAGTGAACTTGGCTTCAGAGTCTGAGAAGCAATCAGGAATATTAGAGATTTGGCAAACTGGAGTTCATGCCCCTTAAACACTTGCTGCTTCTAGTGGAAGCACTCACTATGCAGCTGCAGCAGTCTGTGCCACCAAAAATTCAAGCCCAGGGCTGTCAGATCTTCTAAATTTTTTTAAAAAGCCAGAAATATGAATTCTTATGTGAATCTCCTATTTCTTAAGGATTGGCAATTTAATTAAATTCTCTTTTTAAAAACACAAGTCAAATCAGATGTATTCATGGTGAATTTATGTGGGCCATATTTGGCCTACAGACGAACAGTGTGGGTTCTCAGATTATACAACCTACAAGTCACTCAGTTTCCCACAACAGTCTACCCTGCTCCTGTGGCCTTTTCTGCTTCCTATCTGCCTCCGTCTTTTCCTCAATATGCCAAATTACAGCATGCTACACATCTCAACGGACTCTAGGTTGGGTGTGGAGTGTGAGTAAAGAATGCTACTCTATCTCAATCACCCCATTCAAGAGTCAGCTGAGCTCTGATCTCACTACAGGGAATTTCTATTTGGAAATGAAGATCAATTACAATGGAGTCATACTGGTAGGTCAGACAGCTGGGTCAAATTAAATAATTTTTTTTAATATAAGTAACAAATTCTCATCTCCAAAACTGCCAAGTCTTTTTTAAAGAACCTTTAGATGTCCTATCTCATGTATCAGTGATGACTAACTGCTCTCATACAGCTTTGCCACCAAGCCCAACCATGCCACAAGCAAAGGAAGAAACCTCAAAAGAAGTTCATTAACTAAGCTGAACATCACTTCCATTGAAAATGCTGTAGAATTTTTAGCTTCTACACAAAGTAGACTTATTATTTACTTTAATACTTTAATGACATCCTATTCCAATCAAAGTAAGTAAAAGGTTGAAAGGATGGGTCAACTCCACTGGGATCCAACCTACATATCTAGATATTTACCCTTTCCCATAGATTCTAACAGGATTGCTATGTTAGATAATCTCTGTTAAACATATAAACAAACTATGGTCTTCTGTATCTAGAAGACCTTCTTCTTCCTACTTCCTCTACGTAAGGATCTAAGAAAATAGTTTTCGATGTAGGATATCTCAAATATATTCACTTGAACAGGACTGGATTAGACAAGGTTAATGAATTACCATCCACATGCATTAGTTTATTCATGCTGATACCTAAGGGCAATAAATTCCCCCAATCTGCCCATCCCATGCCACCCTAAAGCCTCTAAAGATGATACATTAGAGGGTAGCTGACTCTGATACCAATTTAGAAACAGCCAGCTTTCATTCCTAGTTGAGATCAAAATGAACAATTGTGATAAAATAAAGCAGTGACATCATAATTATAACTGATACAAACTGGAATTTGTTTTTGAAAAAGTTTCCAAAACAGATTTTACTACAGAACATTATAAAAACAGAAAAAGAGAATGAAATATAAGAAGTTATTTTTAATACAATCTTCAGAACTCTTATTTTAACAGTGACATAAAGGCAGTAAGTGGCTGGTATGGTTTGGATATGCATCCCTGCCCAAATCTCATGTTGAAAGCTAATCCCCAGCATTCGAGGTGGGGCATGGTGGAAGGTGATTGGATCATGAGGGCAATTTCTAATGGCTTAGCATTATCCCCCTTGGTGACGTTGTTGCAACTGTGAGTTCTCCCCAGATCTAGTTATTTTAAAGTGTGTAGCACCTCCCCTATCCCTTTTGATCCTGCTGCTGCCATGTAAGATGCCTGCTCTCATTTTGCCTACTGCCATGAGTAAAAGCTCCCTGAGGACTCCCCAAAGGCAGACACTGCTTCTTGAACAGCCTGCAGAACCAATTAAACCTCTTTTCGTTACTCATTACCAAGTCTCAGGTATTTCTCTGCAGCAATGCAATTCCTAATACAGTGGCTGTAATAGGAATCTACCCAATTAGTCCATAAGCATATATTCATCATTAGGCATGACCCTCACAAGTCCATGGGCCCTCAATTCTCCTTAGTTGGAACAAAAATACCAAGAAGATCCAGTAGTCTCAAAACCCAGTAATAGGCCTAATCCTTTAATTTGTTCCAATATTGTTCTGTCGGAAAACACTGACTCTTATTTACATGATTGATAATTGTTGTATTTTGTTATTATCAGGAAATCTACAAAAGCTTAAAATCCAAAGTATTTCTCATGAGATCAAGTAACTTATTCACACATTGCTGATACTTTGTTACAATACAAGGATAGCATCCATAGTTTCCAAAATGAAAGAAAGACATAGAGAAGGAAGAGGAGGAAGAGTAAGCAAGGAAAAAGAAGGGAAAGGGTAAGACGGTTAAACCCAACAACATTCAAAAACAAAAGTATGCTAATTCCTACAACTTTACCTAACAGAATATGATACCCACACAATAATTTGGTCCTTAAAGAAAGGAGTATCAGAACGAACTATAACAATAATGTTGCTTTCCTTTCTACCATGTTTCTTTCACAGTGTAAATTCTAAAGTATAAATCTATATGAGGAATAGCTACAAGTTTTAATGAATGATAAAGTCAATATATTTATTTTATATGTCTCAAATTACAAAGCCCTACAAAAATCTGTTTCTTTTATTAAAAAAAGTTAGATTTCTAAATGAAAATACACCTCCCACACTTGACTATTCATGAAGTCATAGCCAGAATAATAGATTTAGCCAGCAATAGTAAATGTCAAACTTACATTCTCCTCTGCCAATAAAATTAATAGTCTTTTGAATAAAAATGACATACAACATATTATATTCTTTCTTAAGAAACAAAACCTACTGCTCCTTGCTTTGAGTTTCTTAATAGAGCTTAACCACTTTTTTTTACTTCTTCACAGAGCAACAGAACAAGACTCTCGCTATGCCAAATACTCTATCAGTTTTTATTTTTAAAATGGTATGAGCTTTGGCTAATGGAAGTCTCAAGATAGTGAAAAATAAAACGATTCAATATCAGTGATGCATATATATGTTCATTATATTCCAACTTACCCAGTACACTGACAAAAGCATCAAAAAGATGAAATGTAAGCAGAGGCTCTTTCAAGTGACCATAGTAATCAGCTATGGTTTTAAAGACATCTTTTTCAAATCCCAAGTACATAGGCTGCTTCAAATCAGAACAGTTGGGCCCTATTTTCAAAAAGAGAGTGAAAGAGAAATATTAATGGAGTAATTACCTCTAAGTATTATTCTCTGTGAATATGTGTGGCATGTACAGATATTCAGATATTTAACATATACAGAAAAGTTTTTATGGGGAAAATTGACATTAATTAAATAGGCATTCTACATTGACATTCATTAAATAGACATTTTATATTTTGCCTACACACATATGCTTTGTGTCTAAATTGAAATCTATTATAATACAATGAAGAAAATCACCCGCTTACTTCCATTTTAAAAGAAACCTGTCTTTTTAAAAAAATTCTTCTGAAAGGCATTTTTATTAAATGTAAACAATGATAATTTTCTTTGAAATACTCAACATTATCCTAGTCTTAATAAAGTTGACCAAGATAACAATTAGTTCACATTTGTAATAGACAAGTTACAAAGCAATTTTTAAAGCTTTTCATTATTTCATCATTGCTATATTATAAAATCCTACAGTCATAGAGTTGAGCAAAATAATCAATTTCTGCCTCTATTTCAGACTAATAAATATTTAAACTTAAATCCTTAAAAGGGGATTTTATATTTTGTCTTGATTCACTCTGATTATAAACGCTCTATTTGATCCCTGACCAACCATCAAAAGACAGTTTATCAAGCAAAGTCATACTGCAAAGTTGAAGCAACCACTGAAACCCTTAAACGGCCTGCTCCCAACCATACCCTACTCCAGCAACAAGCAAGGAAAACATCCACTTGTGTATGGCCCAAAGGGGAGCAAGAAATTTATCTACAGAGTTGGCAACAACTGCCCCACCAATCCATCCACAGACCACAGATTTACAATGCCAAGTTGAGAGATGAACTGGAGCTGCCTGCACCTTGAGGAAAATAGCAAGTGGTCCCATGAGGAACAGTGTAGCCAGCCTTCTCTATTTCCATTACAGCATGGAAGAAAGGACCACATCCTCATTGGCTAGTTCTGGCCCAGGAGAAGACTAAACAACTGTACCCAAATAGACCTCTATCCCCAGAGGAACAAAAGCAGCAGCCAAGATAAATTGAAAGGAAATTCTTCCTACAGAATCTCTGTAACTAAAGAAAGGGGATCAAGTTAAAAAGGGCAGTAAAGCATTCCAGGTCTTCACATTTTGAGGTCACCGTGACAAGATCAAATGGCTTTTTCATCGTCCTTAAAGACTCTCTTACCTTTCAATATTCTGTTCTCTTCTTATAAAATAATTTGATTGGCTAAAATAATGAATGTTGTGAAATATCTATGTGTGTGGTACCACATGAATCCAGCAGCAAAGGTAGTTGCCATTTTGCTTGCCTCGTCCTCTGACATATCCCAAGCTTAATCAATTAAAATAATTAGGTTGATATGTCTCAGCAAGCAATACACATTGCCTAGAATTACTCCCTGGCAGGATAAGTATGTGGTTCATTCTAAGCAGTTGTACCCCTTTGTGAACATCTCATCATCCTTCTTAGAAATATGCAAAAAAATTTTAAAGGTTTAAAAAAAAAAAACAGTGCATAGTGAGCCCTATGAGAGGAAGCCATATTTTTATGACATTTTCTTTCTCAGTTATCTTGAACTTTAATAATAATAAATTTTTTTTTCATAAATGTTATTGCTGACGGATTCTGGAAAAGAAATGCTTTGACTTTTCTGTATCTATTTTTTATTGAATCCTGGACATGTGCAAAGAAGAAAAACACAGTTAACCTGGTTTTGCATTTATGTAACCAGCATTGAGGCTGGCCAACAATGAATGTATACAGGCCCATGTGCACACGGGTGTGACAATAAACACAGATGGGCCTGAAGAGAAAGAGGCGAGCAGCACACGAACAGAAAAGGTGGCAACAGGCCTTCAAAATACCATACAATCAGCCTATCCTTTCTGTTCCCTTTTAGATGACTGTAACGCAAATCTGGACTTATCAAGGACAGGACGGACAAGAAACAGGTCGTGACTTTGGTGGACTCAAAGTAGATTTTGAGGGTCAACAGTAATTTCAGAAAACATAGACTTTATAAAGTTACTCAAAAGGTTAATCTTGCCCTTTGGCCACCTTTATTTGTTTGACACATAAACATCTTTACAGATATGCCAACCACTCACAAAGCATTGTACTTGATACATGTAAGACAAGTTCCCTTTTCCCAGCACTTGCCACCTAGTATCATTCCACCTCACACACATGAAGATCATTAATAATTCACCCCTCACATCTTTGCTCTCCATTGATAAGAAATTAAGAGTTATTCTAAGCTTTCTGTAGAAGTTTTTTGGCTTTAGGTGCACATGTTGCTTGCAGGAAAATTATGTTCTTTACTACATTTCAGTCATCACTGAAAATTCAACATCATAAACATCTTACTATGTATTTTACAATATATTACAGGCTAAATTGGTTATACTAGCTTCCTATGTTCATTCCTAGCTGATCAACTTCTAAATCCTTGGTTTGCCAGTTCGGAAATGGGAAGTTTAACTTCCCATTTATACTTTCTATCTCATCATTTCCAACCCTAGACAAAGATGCAATTTAAATTTCATTTACTTCAAACGCCTGAGCAGGAAGAATAAAAAGTACTTCCCCTACTAAGACCATAGTACTCTGCAACTCAGAAGTTCCAAAATTTTAACCAAAAACCAATGAAAATTTTAATAATTAAACCCAGAGAAACTTAGGATTCACACAAACTAGTGGTTACTATTCATATACAGAAGGATAGTATAGAATGAATAACACTCATTCAAAAGGCTATTCAAAATCATAGGATCATGTTCCATATATTACCACTAAGATTCCCCACATTAAGCTTAAGAGTTATTTTAGTTTCATTCTATAATCAAACAAAATTAATTCCAGCTAAACCCATATTTTAGGGTCTACTAACTCACGAATTTAAAGAGAATTTACACCTATATCTGTAATGCTAGTCCTGTACAAAAGAAAGGAAAATAAACTACTACCTTGTGGTATCTGTGAGACTCAAAAGGCACTCCAGACCAAATATCACTATTATCAGTCAGCCAAAAGAACCGGAACTCTTTCCATCAAAATTACTTGTTTGGGTTAAGCCATTGATCATTAAAATCCCTTCTTTGGGTTAACCCGTCTGAAAATTCCCAGAAGAATGGTAGCGTTTCTGAGATACTATAACAACTAATGCCTTCACAGTACCTATGATATTCAATGATCTCGAAATCACATGCCTATGAAATGGATTTCATATACCTATAAATATCCTCACAGGGACCACTGTGGTCCAGGCCCTGTCATCTAACATCCAAATTACTGGAATAGTCTTTCTCGTTTCTCTACATGCAGGTTCTTCTCCTTCCAAACCATCCTTCATCCTGTGATGAAGCAATTAGAACTAGTGTGGATGGATCTACTAGAAAGTACAAGTACTAAACCCCTTTAAAATTGTTCTAGAATTCAGTCCTTTCACTAAGTCACAAATTTATCACTAAAAGCACAGTAGTCCCAAAATAATTAACTGCCAGTCTCACAGGTGTCAAATCAATGTTCAGGCCATTGAGCAGAAATTTTTTCTAATTTAGGGCACTAATTTCTGTTAATTTCACAAAACTGTCAGATAATTAGTACTTACAATTTGCCAAACACTTCATAGCTGACAGCACCCAATGAGGAAGTTCTTCTGAAGGAAAAATAAAAAGAAGAAGAAAATTTTAATTCAATTCCATATAACTCATGAAATCATATACATACTTGGTATCATAAGAATGCATTACTTGCACAAGTAATGTGAACCATATCTGCTAATCACAAATCACCAATTTATGTAATTAGAACATTTAAAAGATGGAAATCTTTCCTTGGCAGCAGTAACAACATGTGCTTACATAAATCATGCCTACAGATTTCTCTAAGGACACAATGCACCTTTTAAAGCTACAGTAAAATATATATATATATATACACACACACACACACACAGTTTGCTCCAAACAAACCAAAAGAGAAACCAATTATTTTAAGAATTAAAAGAAGAAAAAGAAAAGAAAAAATATTAGTCATCAAACACATTTGTGAAACGAGTTCACCAAACACCACCAGCCCCACAAAAAGGGTAATTCTGTAGGTGCAATGTAAGTATCATTTTACATGTTTCCATTTTCAAAATGCTTTAGGCCAAGAAAGTTCCACTTACATATTAATGTTAGGCTATTAGTATTAGGACAACCTTTAAATAACAGTAACCTAACATTGCTACAAAAAAATCCCAGCTGAACCATTTGGTACAGAATCTCTTCCCTCCAGGCCCTGCCACAGACATCTGATGAGATGGACTAGCACTCGGGCTGCCACTTCACCTTCTCTATTTCTGTAAAACTGCAAAGACACTTGATGAATTGTGTTAGATCTAACGAACCGGAGTCTTGTAAAATGCTCTCTTCTTTCTTAAGATCTTACTTAATAAAATGAAAGATGATTGATCATCTAACTGATAACTAAAAGTATTAATTTGTTACACTCAGAGAATGTGGAGGAATTTTAGACGTATTTCAAAGGCTGCACTCTCCCCCTCCTTCTATGGAACTTAATTTTGTATGTTGATATTAACTTCACAACTCATAAAGTCACCACAAATTTATTCTCATTGTTCTCCATTCCTTATATAGTGACTATAAACGGAGAAGTGTTTCAGGTCTGAAGATAGGTTCTGCAGGTTCTGCTCCTGTCAGCAAACATGGCCTAGAAAAATCTCTTCCCCTCTCACCACTGCTCAGGCTATTCTGCTATATTCTGTCTGCTTCCCAGGAGCCTCCCGCCCTAAATTTAATCATATTTCTAAAAAGTCAAAAAGTATTATGCCATCTTCTCACATCCAAAGATCATCAAGTTCCAGCCAATTCCCAGCATCGAGGGTTTGAACTAAAGGAAGAACAAATCAATGAGCCCATCCAAATCTGGTCCTTATCCACAGAAAGATTTAAAATCAGTGTGGGGGCTGTGGTCCACTGTCAGTACCCTAACCACATTTGTACAAATCAAAAACCAGGTTAGGTGGCTGTTATATGTTTTGTTTTATTTTGTTTTGTTTTTCTGATTTGTAAACTGGCCCAGGGTGGGAAATATGAAAAAGCAACATCAATATTTTAAAAACTACCTTATTAAAAAGAACCAAGACTATTCCAGAAAATCTAACACAGAGAAACCAAAACAAACACGTAAGTGAGAATTCTAAAAGCAATCAGATCCCAGGGCCCACCTAAAAACTGACTCAAACTCTTAGTTATGTCTTGAATATTCTCACTTTTCAGAGATCTCCCTGGGAATATGGAACCACTTAATGCCCAAGGTGGCTAACACTGAACTAGCTTCTGGAAGGATTTTGCTGAGGCTCTCATTCCTAGATATTCATCTTCCTATGACATTGCCTTAATCCAAACAATTTGTTAAAAAGTATTAGAAAGAATATATGTAATGAAGGAACAAACTTATTCAGGGTTTAGGGAAGGGTCAAACAGGAGCTGATGGACCTATGCAGCCAATATATTGTGTCAATAAGTAACAAAATTATGTGTATGCACTTACTTGACTTGTCATCAAGAATAACAACTCCCTGCTTGCTAACACTATATACATTATGGATGATGAACTTCGAATTGACAAGTTTGATGTCTAAAACTTCTTCTAAGGAATCCAGGCCAAGAATTTTCTGTAAACTAAAAGATAAGTAATTATATTAATTAGTTCTTTCTTTCATATTATATTTACTCAAAAACTTGGTACTACAAAAAATCAATCTTCATAATGCTTTATTTTCATGCACTGCACCCAATCTTTGTGGGACAAAAAGGGTAGAAATGGAGTACAATAAAACAAATGTAAAAGATATCCTTTTGCTATTAACATTTTGCTTCACAGATTTAGTAATACGCCAAATGACAAGAAAGTAATTTTGTAAGTAAAATTACTACAACACAAAAACTAACTTACCCAATGATAAGAAACTACTATTAGCATATCTTCATGAGAAACAAAATTTTGCTGTATATGATTAACTTTATACGAATAGTACATCAATATCTAGGAGACCAAATTTTCTATTATGTATTTTATTACACTTAAGAACTTTTAAACTCCTATTATATAAATAGCAGGAGATAATCCCCAGAATTCCGCTAAACTATGTTGACTGAGCACAACTGCAAATAATGCAAAGTGGAGATATTTATATACAATTTCAGAAAATTAAATATGCAGAGAGTGAAGAAGTAGCAAAATAGGAAACAATATCTCTAAAATTTCTCATTAATATCAAATGTACATACTATGATAATGTCATAGACTTCCATATCTCTTCTACATTGGCCTCTGTCAGCTGTCTGCGGTGGACAAGACGGCAAGCTGGAACCTCTCCAATAGCAATACTGTGACGCTTGTACCACATCTCAGAATTCTGATGGAGGGGGATGTAAGAAGGGAGGGAAGGAGAAACAGTAGAAAGAGAGAGAATAAATATTTCAATATAAGGTGGTGTGATTTTTATGAGAAATGTCTTTGATTTGGTCACCTGTAATTTGATTTAAAATAATAATTAGAAACATAAACTAACTTTCTTTGCGAACCTCAGAGAAGCAAAGAGTGATTCTTAAGACTAGGTCACATTATAAATGAATATTCATGAATTACAAAAGAGCTATGGCAATAAGTATGGCATTAACTAGCTAATTTTCCCTGTGGATGTTTCAACTAATCAGTGACATAGCAGTGAAATAAAAGTTTGTTAATTAAAAATTAAGGAATACATATCTAAATTCACACACAGTACAGATTGATTATTGAAAATGAAATTAAAATGTATTACTTTTGAGGGTTGTCTATTTTTTTATAAGCAAATATCAAGTAAGTGCAATGTTTGAAAGTAGCCCCCAAATCTTAGGCATCTGCAAAAGGCTCCACAAGGACAGCTGAAGATGGCAAAAGGAAGAGAAGGGTTTTTTTTGTTTGTTTGCTTTTTAGCATTACCTCAATCCTGGTGGTCTTCTACTGGGGATATTTTAAGGAAAAAATGTGAAAAAAAAAAAAGAGGCAGTCAATTCTATAATGAGCTTAGGTTTTCCAAGACTAGAAGAATCTACCTTTGTTTATATATTTGGTCAGGGGCTATTCCACAATATTCCATGCCCTAATCTTCTTACCCTCAACTGGCAATAATAACAAAGTTTAGGAGGAAGAGACAAAGAGGAAAAAGAGTAATAAATTATAGAACATACAGGAAAAGGCGGTTACAAGAGAGTTTTAACAAAAACCTGCTCAGTCTGAACATACAAAAACAGCTGCCATATACAATTGACCCTTTATATCTATGGGTTTTGCATCTCTGCATTCAACCAACCACAGATTGAAAATATTCAGGAGGAAAAAATGGATGGTTTCATCTGTACAGAACATGTAGATATTTTTTCTTGTTATTCCCCGAACCGGGGGTCCTCAACCCATAGGCCACAGACTGGTATCAGTTAATAGACTATAATAAACCAGGCTGCACAGCAGGAGGTGAGCGTTGGGCAAGTGAGTGAAGCTTCATCTGTATTTACAGCCTCTCCCTGTTGTTCACATACTGCCTGAGTTCCACCTCCTGTCAGATCAGCCGCAGCATTAGATTCTCACAGGAACGTGAACCCTTTTGTTAACTGTGTATCTGGGGGATCTAAGTTGTGTGCTCCTTATGAGAATCTAATGCCTGATGATCTGTCACTGTCTCCCATCATCCCCAGATGGTACCATCTAGTTGGAGGAAAACAAGCTCAGGACTCCCACTGATTCTACATTATGGTAAGTAGCATAATTATCTCATTCTATATTACAACGTAATAATAACAGAAATAAAATGCACAATAAATGTAATGCACTTGAATCATCCTGAAACCACCCCCATCCCCACCCCAGCAGCCCTGGTCCATGGAAAAATTGTCTTCCACGAAACCCATCACTGGTGCCAAAAAGGTTGGGGACTGCTGCCCTAAACAATACAACAACTATTTACATGCAAGAGTGAAAAACTGCAAGAGTCAGTCTTTCTTTGTTACCGGTCTCCCAGCTGTTGGCAGGTATGATTTTGTTTTAAACTATTGTTTAAACTATTGTTCATAAAGGACCACAGAGAGACAGACCAAGCCTAAGAGTTCATGGATGATTCTCCCTGCTGCCAGCCCCTCTGTCTTTCAGTTATGGCACTTACCATCACAACTGGCCTCACTGGGATGTTCTCTTGTGAAGTGCCTGGTGGGGGATCATTCCATTCTGGAAACTTAATAACATCCTTTTGGTATGGGGGTTTCTTTGGATATGGTTTCAGGGGTGAAGAAGGAGGAAATCTAAAACCCAAGAAGAAATTCTCTATTACTGCAGTCAGTGGGAGACACAGATATTTTAACAATAGTCTCCACTTTTGTGTCCCTGTAAAGTTATACAGTAATTACAAACTTCAGATAATAAATGAGCTCATACTTAATCAAATTATTACACATGATTAATTGTACCCAACAATAATATGGTTTTCTTTTTAATATTCATTCATTATGCCCATCAAATAACATTTATGGAGAAAAACAGGAATTGAATATGTGGCACATTTTTAAATAAATAAACAAAACTTGTTCTCTTATCATGTGATGTCCATGATCAAAGAGGTTCTTAAGGAGATGCTAGACTAAGCCATTTCTTTCACTGAGCTAAAATCCTTACTGCCTCATAACTCCAGCCAAAATGCATACATGGTGAGCTGCATATAGAAATTATTGGTAGAGAAATCCTCAGTAATACTTGCTAAGAAAGAATACATTAACACAAAAATCATTTGGCTTAATTTTCACTTGTATTACTATTTCTAATAAAGATTAATCCTTTTTCCATTGAATATCTAGCACTTCACACTGAGATTGGAGCTTCGGTCTAGAAACCCATCTTGGAAGGAGCTAGAAAGTGGCCATGTCCTTATTCTGCCCTTCCACACTCTCCCCTGTTCCTAGCCTTCCTGTGTATTGACAGCATCACTCCTTGGACTAATACCTAAAAGTCTAAATAAATTTTAATTTTTAAAACTGCTCTATACCATACCTGGTAAATAACAGAAAGGTGATTGAATACATAGTTTTTATCAGAGAATCTTTTTCTGTAGGCTTGTTAGAAAAGGATACAATGCATTACATTGCACTGCAAAAGCAATGTAAGAACTCTAGTTCTTAATGTTGATATAAAAGGCAGTGGGTTGTTGACTTTTATTTTGACTTTTTATTTACTTAAGCCAAAATAACAGCTTAATCCATATTATCCATAGAAAAAAAATCATACAAATAACGAAAGACCTTATCTCAAAGCAAATGCAGAAATAAAGAATTATAAAATGTCTATAGTGTTCAAGGGAAGTTTATATGAAGGTGAATCCAGAGAATCACAAACAAGAGTACTAAAGGAAACAGAATGTGTCACCTCAAAATATTCCTCTTTGACATAATTTTTTGGATCTAAAGGCCTTTTGAAGCAAATACAGAAAAGCACTCTTTCCTCTAAGAGCAGGAGAATTATTAATATAAAGACAAAAGGTTGATCTTTCCCTCTTTCCTGCCTCAAAACAGTATGTAAATTCTCCTTTACAACCTTTATCAGCTTAGAGACTGCACCAGAGGAATCTAAGCAGACTTTATTAGTTTCCCCATAAATTTACTTTCCCACACTTTCCTGTCTTTGGAAGCCTTAAACTGCTTTCATGTGACCTGATGCTTCTCTAAAATTTATTGCTTTTTGTTGAAGACCTGATATAAGCTAGGACTCTAAGGCACTGCATCTAGTTATTTTTCTCCCATGGAATGTGCACTGCACACATTAACAAACCTGCTCGTTTTTCTCTTGTTAATCTGTCTTTTCTTGCAGGAATATGTCCCAAGTATGAACTTCTGAAGGTTGACAAAAACTATAATTTCTCATCTTCAAATAGAGAAACGTTTCAAAAACAGTCACAATAGATTTGAAAAGGAATGACTACTGGAGAAAAGTTGCATTTCATCTTTTCTGAAAAGAATATCCAAGAACTATTTTAAACATCAGTTTGGGGTCAGTTAAAAAAAGAGAAAGATCTGGAAATCACTGAATCAAGTTAGAGATAGCTTACAGTTTGGTAATCAAGTTACCAAGGCAGGTGTTCCCAAAAGATTCCAAAATATAAACTAAATGAATCTCTATAGCCAAAGCATCTTTCTTTGTAAATAAAGGGTGGCTTATAAAAGTCCAATTATATTTCTTACAAGTCAACAATCCCAACAAATGCCCATTTCCAGACAAAGTACAGCATTTATGCAAGTGTATGTGCACACACGCTCATATACACATAGGATATGTTCACAGATCATCCACCTCTCAGTTCATTCAAAACTAAACAAAATCCCTATTCCCATCCCACCACTAATGCCCTCTGTTTACTCTCCCACTTCATCCCCTCAACTATGACACAAAAATTTTCAGATCTGAGTTCCGGGCTTTCTCACAAACTATCTATGTCTCTTTAGAAAGTATAAGTCTCTCTAAATAATAATTCATTTATTTGTCAAATGAAGGAATTAAATTGGATGACCCATAAATTTTCTCCTAAGTCCAAAAAGATGCTTCTTATATTCCCATAACCAGAAAAAAAGTAATATCTTCCAAAGACCAAAGTAGAATTTGTTACGTGTAAAACTGTGATTGAAGAGATACCAGGAAATCACTTTTTTCCTCCACACTAAGAAGATGAGATCTTTGCTGTCAGTAACATCTGCAGTTACCAACAGAAGATGTGCTATCTATTTTCACAGCAGTCTGACAACTTTGCCTGAGAAAAAATGCAGAAGAGCTCCCTCCAGTGGAGTACTTTTATTTTGGGCATTGAAAGTTAGTAATTTAAACCTAACATTTTAATAATGTAATATTTCAACTGTTAAAGATGATCCAGTTCAAATGCCACATTTTTCACTCAGAGAAATTAAGGCTCAAAAGAGGAAAGCAACTAATTTAAAAGCTTCACAACTGGCCAAGAGAACAAATCATCTTACACAAAGGATTTGCAAGCCAAATTAAATCTTACACAAAGGATTTGCAAGCCAAATCTTAAATCAAAGGATTTAAGAAAATTATAAAAATTTATGCAAAAAAAAGACAGTGTGCCCCCTAAAAAGAAAATTAGAAAATTTTATTGAAAGACATTGAAGAAGAACTAAATTGATAGCTATATTATGCTGGTAAATAAGATTCTATCTTAAACTCAGGCTCAAGCAATCCTCCTGTCCTCCTGTTTCAGCCTCCTAAGTAGCTGGGATTACAAGTAGTTGCCACTGTGCGCAGCTTAGTGAATAAGATTCCATATCATACAATGTTAAGTTTCCCCCATGAAGATACATAGTTACAATGAAAATTTAATAAAAACATTAATATAAAAATTTTTATGAAACATGGTAAACTTATTCCAAGCCAGGCACAGTGACTTACATTTGTAGTCCCAGCTACTTGGGAAGCTGAGATGAGAGGATCACTTGAGGCCAGGAGTTCAAGACCAGCCTGGGCAATAAAGCGAGACCCCATCTCTAAAGTAAAAAAAAAAAAAAAACAAGAAACAAGATCAACTGATTCTAAAATTTATACGAAAATGCAAAGGCCCAAAAATAAGACATTCTTAAAGAAGAAAAACAAAGTGAGGTGACTTGCCCTATCAGATATCAAGACTAACATAATAGGGCAATACTAATGGCAGAGACCATACTTCCCCAAGTTCCGCATTGTTGACATTTAGGGCAGGATAGTTATTTGTTGTGGGGAGCTGTCCTGTGCACTGGGGGATGCTGCTAAGTGCAAAGCATCCCTGGCCTCTACTCACTGGATGTCAGTAGCATCCTACACACAACACACACACCTGTTGTGACAACCAAACATTTCTCCAGACATTGCCAAATGTCTTCTGCAAAATGGCCCCCAGTTGTAAATCATGGGTCTAGACAAAGAGAATTCAAAACAAATAAACATTACTCTTTAGAAACATGATTTATGATAGAGCAGACATTACAGATCAATGGAAAAGTATGGACTGCTCAATAAATAGTACTGAGCCAAATGGTTACCTATTCGGAAAAAATGAAATTGCATCCTGGTTCAGCCTGCCATATTTCCAAAGGTGTTTACAATCATACCTCCTAACTATATGCTCTTTTGCAACATGACTTGCCACTACTGTATCAAGAGGCAGAGGGTCTTTCTCTATCCTCTCAAGTCTAGGTGAGCCCCCTATAATTGCTTTGATAAATACAATAAGGCAGAAGCACTAGCCTACCTGGCTAGAACTCTCTTCCTGCCTCTTGAAACTCTCACTCTTGTATAACTCATTATTATGAAGCTCCCTCTTGGAAACCAGCCATCTTATAAGAAGTATGACCACCATGAGACCACCATGTTGTGAAATATCTAAGCAACAGGAAGAGGCCCTAGAAGACGAGATACTGCAAGGAAAGAAACTGAGGTAAAGGAGCACCAAAATTCCACATCTGCAAATAAACAAATATTCCTGGAGGTGGATTCTCCAGCCTCAGCAGCCCCAGTTCATGCCCACCTAAGCAACCTTCCAAAATTCCTGATCCACACAATTACGTAAAAACTACAATGGGCCAGGCACAGTGGCTCACACCTGTAATCCCAGCATTTTCAGAGACCAAGGTGGGTGGATTGCCTGAGGTCATGAATTTGAGACCATCCTGCCCAACATCGTGAAATCCCATCTCTACTAAAAATACAAAAATTAGCCAGGCGTGGTGGCGTGTGCCTGTAATACCAGCTACTCAGGAGGCAAAGACAGGAGAATTGCATGAATCCAGGAGGCAGACGTGTCAGTGAGTTGAGACTGCACCACTGCACCACACCAGCCTGGGCAACAGAGCCAGACTCCATCTCAAAAATAAAGCGGGGAGTGGGGGAGGAGGGGGGGTTCCAAGATGGCCGAATAGGAACAGCTCCAGCCTCCAGGTCCAAGAGTGAGTGACACAGAAGACGAGTGATTTCTGCATTTCCAACTGAAGTACTGGGTTCATCTCACTGGGGCGTGTTGGACCGTGGGTGCAGGACAGAGAGTGCAGTCCACTGAAAGAGAGCCGAAGCAGGGTGAAGCATCGCCTCGCCCGGGAAGCACAAGGGGGAAGGGAATTCCCTTGCCTAGCCAAGGGAAACTGTGACACAAAGCACCTGGAAAATCGGGTCACTCCCATCCTAATACTGCACTTTACCAAGGGTCTTAGCAAAAAGCACACCAGGAGATTATATCCTGCACCTGGATGGGAGGGTCACACGCCCACGGAGCCTCCCT